CACTCAGGGTAAGTCAACTCAGAGTTCAAGTTTTAACTCAGAGTTTGTTGAACCTCCTTTCTGGAATACACCCGTTGCACAAGAAAAAAACAACAACTAACAAGCAACAGACAACTTTGGTGTTATTTCTCATTATTATTATTATTATTATTATTATACTTTGTTGTTCCATGTTGTAATTAATTAATTTTTTCTCTTCATTGTTTTTATTGTCATTGTTACTATTATATTGATTATTGTTATATATATATATATATATATATATATATATATATGGTACGTACAAATAATTAACTGCTCTTGAAGCGTTCATAAAATAAAAATGAAACACCCAAAACTGTACATGGCATCATCACGAAGACGCTCAATGTTTTAATAGTGAATGTAGAAAAATAAAGCTGTGATTTTGGTGGTAATCTGCCTTTGCTTGTCACTTTCCATTCAGTTGGAAACTTACCATTGGGGAGGAAAGTTTATACTCTGGGGTCTGGGTAGTGGTAGCCATAAGTAGTTATTCCGTCGCCAGTTACATTAGCATGTTATGTAGATCTATATTGTTTGCCAAATTCAGGTTTCATCTGTGGCTTGCAACCATAAACATCTGCATTTAGCTTCATAGTGCATCTTTGACAATGGTATGCTATAAAAATCCTTATTGCATTCTGATTCTGAAACCCAAAGGCATAACAAGACTCCCCCCCCCCCTCTTATTCCCTGGATTTTGCCAATTTCCCTCAACTTGTTACCACTGTTTTTCTGCCACTACAACACGTGTGCAGCTGCTAGTGATGAGTAAATGTGAGGTCTGCTCACAAACAGTCTATAATCTGTGGAGGAAGATTCAGTTGCTCACTGGAGGGACCAATTAAAACATGAAAAAAAGCTTTATTGAGGTGATTCTAATTTGTTGCACCTGAGGTGACCACCAGATGGCGTGCTTTTATTTACCAGATGTCTACACTATCAAATAAGTACTAAAAATACCAGTATTACGATTTTTTTTTTTTTTTTTAACATTTTTAACATGGTAATACAATTTACTTTGAGACACGGCTATAGGCCTGATGGTATTTCTGTAGCTTACAGTGCCTTATATCATGGTACATGAAGATAATAATAATTCAATACCATTATACTACTTTTTGTTAGGCTAATTAGCACAGAAACATCTCAACAAACATTTGGTGGTCGAAACAGAAATCCAGCTGAATATAGGCTACATGCTGAAAAAAAAGTTTTTTTTCCCCCTGTTATACGAGCCAAGTGAGAGTTGAGTTGAGGATAGCCTACGACAAGACACTGGACCGAAGTCAGACGGTTTTCACGCCGTGGTCACGCATGTCTCCGTGGGGGGCGGGGGTCACACAGCAGGGCGGGATTGATGGAGGGAGAATAATACAGTAATCTGCGAGAGAGAAGAAGACTCTGTCTTATTCTCCTCCCTCTCCCTCCGTCTGTTTCTCTGACTGAGGAAGGAGCTGGGAGACAGTAGACAGGCGTCGTAAGCAACGATGCTCCTTTGAAATGTATTTATTTTAGAACGATTTATCGCAACTTGACACAATTCTATATTTCCTGACAATTTATCCTAATAGCAACAGTTTGCGTTTTTGGTCTAAGTATAGCCTATCGTGTCATGCGTGAGTTGGAAACGGTCAGCTGGATCCAGGAGTGTTTTTGATGAAGACATTCGTTAAGCGTTAAACGGACCGCGCGCTTCAAGTCCTCACGTATTTCGGAATCAGACGGAGCGTCTTTATCGAGGTAAAACCGTCGCGCACATCTGGACAAACACGATCTGTATCAGCTCACGTCTAGAAAAGCATTACGGTTGTGTGTGTGTGTGTGTGTGTGTTGTTTTGCGTAAGTTTGATCCAGACAGTCTGACTGACCCAGTTTCTTTAATGTTGAATAGATATCGAATACCAAGGAACAGGTTTGGTAAACAGACTCCATCATAAACAGGGACCACCTGGTGTTATATAACTTGTGACAGTCATGTCAGGGCAGCTACAGGTGTGAACGGAGGACACCTGAGCGGGTGGGTGGGAGGTTATTTGTGTTACATTCAGACGCTGTAATATCATGTCATTTTACAAGGCGCTTTAGAGTACTTGATGCTGATTGGTCAATCCTGACATTCCGCGGTCAAATATTTTTGTGTAATGAGCGCTATTGTTTTTATTTGACATTGCCTCACAACATTTCTCAGCTATGCTAGTTTACTTGTCTTGTATTGGTCTGCAGCCGTTATTGCACATAATAAAATATTTCACGTTTATTTTTTATGCAGTAAAATATGTGAAAATTTCGCAGTTTACTCTCAGCAGTTAATCATCTTAAAATTAACCCTTTCAGCATGATACAAGACGCTTATGTTTCGTGTCCTGATTGGCTTTATGTCAGGGCAAATAAGATCCCATCCTGCATTATTGTGTTATCTTGTCGTAGCTAATC